GTTTCATCCGTCCTCATCTGGTGAGATCGACCAACGAAGCTCTTCTTCATTCACTTTCATACGAAATGAAGGTCCTCTTAACAATGTTATTTTAATAGATTCATCGAAACCCAGTTTCACTTCGTATCTAAAATGTAAGTACGGCTCGACTTGTAATTTGTCTTCTCGCTACACCATAAACGAGAAAACTATATTGGTCTATGGACAATAAGATAAACAGGCCTCACCTTGCCATTCAATTTTCCTCAAATTGAAATCTTTATTTGCTTTGTATCAATGGCTACCATCAGTAAGTCATCTTGGAATACTTGATTTCTGCTTTTTCTTGGTAAAGGTCTCTCAGTCCTCTAAATATAGTCTTCAGCCCTCAGATGTGCTCCTTATCCCAATTATATAACTGTTATGAGCCTTAAAGGCTACCTCTATTTCCTGGGATTTATTCAATTACCACCTTGTAAATAGCTGAGTAAATAAACCCGTCTCAAAGTTTATTCATTTTGAATTCCTCCATCTATCACGTTTTTCATATAAATACTTTTTATATTTCATCTAATTAAATCTAAAGCGAACTACAATTTTCCCTCAACACAACCTAAAACCTCGCCTATGCTAGATCTCATTGGCTAGTATTACGTGAATTAATACGACAGATTGTTTATTTCGATTTAATTTTAAGCGAAAGCATGCGATGAATTGATTCGAAAGTCTATCACTATAAGATGAATACAGATTCCTCTTGGCTTTACTGAAGCAGTCCCATGAGTTAATACTCGCATAAATTTCATTTAGTTTAGGAAGACGGATAGAAGGGATATGTAGATTGGCCTCACCGGATACGGCAGACGAGTTGCCTTGGACTTTTGTCTGTTGAATTCTGCGAACAAGATCTCGGCTCATCGTCCTACCGCCCCGATGACTCCGTGCTGAGCTTTCGTCCGTCATTTCACGAACATCGTCAGAGCCAGAAAGCATTATTTACCAACAATCACCAAAAAAGACTAAACCAAGAAAGGTGACCAGCTGAAATCCTACTAACTTATAATACCTCACTTTACGACCTTGATGATTTGGTTGACTGTTTTATGCTTGTCTTACATGCATTCAAGCAAGTGAATGTGATGCAGGCAATGAAGTGGATGTGGTCACAACTTTGTCTACGTTAGCAAACTAGCGTATGATCCTGTAATCCTGGGTCTTGTTAGAGCTTCGTGGATGCCTGCTCGTGAGTGTATGCAACAGCCACGAGTTGGCTGGTAATTTTGGATCCATAAACGGACTCTAGCTTAGTCAAGTTTTCTCTTCTTACTCAATGGCTATTCCTGTTTTCTTTCCTTCACTCCCTCAATTTATTTAGCAGCCAGAGGTAGTTCTTACTTAGTTTTCTACACTTGTTCCTCTTATTCAGCATTTTCTTTGTTTCGTTAATTTCAATCGACTTCCGCTTAGCTGTGAAGTCCCCATATCCGGCAAAACGTTGGGATTTAGATCACTCTATCTGGTGTCCTGTAGCGACTACATGTTCAGCCACTTATGATTTATGAATCCATAAACCTTTGCAAGGGGTGCTGTGTTCTGATAGCCTTTTATGTGTGGGTCGACAAGTCTCCCCCACATAAACATTACCATATGAGCCCAAAACCTTATTACAACCTGATCTGTAGAGAGTGTCTGAAGATTCTCTAAAAGGAGGCATGATTGAGGAAAGAAAGCATCATTATTTCTTTATACATTGTCTTAACGCTCCATTTCCACAGTAGTTCGCCTATCTTTCTTGAAAGCTTGCAGGATGGTAGCATTAGGAATGTGAATAAAGACTTGTCTAATTCCTTGTTTTGTCTCAATAATGGTTTCCTTTCACTTTATTTCTTAGTATTTTGAGATTTTTTACAATTAATCCTAATGGATAATTGTTCTTAATTTAGATTTTTCTTAGTCTTTCTAAGTCCTGTAATTTATAACCGCAAGACTTCAACTCCTTATTATCATTAATTTCGTTTTTACTACCTTAACACCATAAGTATGATTCGAGAGAAGAAATTAAGAAGGAAACCTGCGTTTTTTGGTTCCTTATTTACATATCTAACAAGTTTTTTTTACCTTTATTAATTATGACATCTAAAAAGGGTAGCTTACTGTTATTTTTTAACTCCGTAGTAAAGTTTGTCGCCTTATCTATTCTATTCATTAACCTAAGGAAGTCTTCCAAACACTCTTTGCCATGCTGCCAGATAACAAAATAATCAGAACTAGGAGTTAGTCTTGAAAAAGCCAGACTTCTAAATGAACCATGCAGTTATTAGCTAAAACTGGAGTTTTTTAAATTAACTATGTTTGTAAGAGTATGAGATGTATTCAGGAGTGTATGATAGATGTAGGAAAACAAGCCATGTTTATATTAGATGTATTCACCCTAGTTCATTAAGGTGATGAAGGACTAGTAGTTGAATTTTCCCACTGATATAATTAGAGTTGACGTTTCCAGTCCACTTCATAGCCTTGTTTTCCCAAAAGTTGTTTTCATCCAGGCTGAACTTCAGATTCGACCTCGTCTATGTGTTGGCAACACGTCTCAGAGGGAGTGGAATCATGACAGGTCAGCCGTGTAAGCTCGACACCTTAACCACTCATCCACATTGCCGCGAATGCCCTCTGTTCATATGGCGGGCCAATAGCAAATTGCCGTCATCTTTTAGTGGGGCCGACCTCTGCATTTCCTCATCACACTCACTCAAATTGGAATTGAGTGGAGCACTTGTAAACCAAGAGATTCATCAAATTCCAACATTATTGGCCTAAATTGATCTTCTGAAATCTTAATGTAAATCTCAACTATTCAAAATACCAAAGCTATTAGCTAGTTTAGATTTAAATGTCTCTTAATTTTCGGCATGGTTGTCCTTTTTTCCAAAACCTTTGGCTCATTATTTTTCCTTAATTTATATATTGTGTATACAATGAACTTTCTACTAGACCTCTGCTCCAAGCTACACGACGCTACTTTCGCTTTTCCGTCTTTGAAATTTTTCACTGGCTCCCTTGCTTCATGCTGCGCTCGCTGCGTCGCTGCCTCGTCCGTCTATTTGTTTGTATTTTGGCAACTAACCGACTCCTGGCGCTTCCATTTTTTCTTCTACCTCTTGCTATCGGGACATTAAGCCCCTGCTGTGTGCATAGATTGTTTTCTACGTCCTCTCATTCAGAGCTTCCAGACCTCGAGGGCTTAACTAACGGCCTTGATGCTAATGTGGCCTCCGGAGAGGTTTTGCTGCCACCACAGCCAAACTCAATAGACCCGGGACTGATTTTGTCCAATGACGTTGTTGAAAACGGGAAAATTATCTATAGCCTGGGCAATATTGAAGCCCAGATGACCGAAGGCAAACATTTACAGGGAAAGCCTTCCATTGCTTCCATTCGTTCTGAAATCGATCCCTTGACTACACAATATGTTAGCGGGACAGAAGTCAAGCCTTTATTGCCAGTTGATACGCCAATGCAATCGGAACTTGTCATCGGGGCGTCAT